GTGTGTGTGTGTGTGTGTGTGTGTGTGTGTGTGTGTGTGTGTGTGCGCGCGCGTGTCAGTGTTTTTTTTAATTTTTTAATTTTTTTAAACCAGTTGGTGACATACTTGGATGTGTTTTATGTCCTCTGAAAATCATGTCAGAAGGATTCCCACCTTTTTGCCAAAAGGCTGTGACGATGCCGGCTCGTGTATGTTGCTCTCCGTGTTCTTTGTTGTGTTAATTTGAGCCAAAGACAGATAATGTATGGTTTTGTATGTACAAAGGAGATCAAAACTCACCACCAAACCAGCACCCTTCTCCTCCTCACACTCTGCTCTTCTTTTTAAAGTTGCTACTGTAGACTGTTTTACTCCTACTACCAGAATTGATGAGCTGCTCCTTACTGGTATACTTGTAAGATACTGGAGTGAAGACAAAACACTACAAATCATTGAGAACTTTACCACACCGTCTGCTGAGATGTGTGCTTTAGCAGTGTGTTGTGGGACTACGAGCCTTTTCAACATTGCAGCATTCTGTATAATTATGCCCCATTTGGTTGACCATAATCGGCTTCATCTCAGTTTTTGGCGATGTGATCTCTTACATCATGCGTGAGTGTCAGTTTGGTGAAGAGTGACTGGTCAATGTTGAAATACTTAACTTATTTATGAACGTAGTGTCCTGTAGAGGAAGTTAAGCTCCATATTCTTGCTGTTGGATAATAATAAAAGAAAATGTCAAATGTGATTGTACTGCCACTTAGTGGTGCTCTGTTGCTATGTCGGTGTGTTACTCAAGGTGCTAAAAAAAATGGAGGAAAAAAAAACTGTGCAAGTGTTTTATTTAAAAAAACAAAGTCAAACCAAAGCTTACTTCATGTTTACTAATGCCACATTAACAGTAATATAAAATACAACATAATAAAAAATGTAAAATTATGTTTATTTATAACTTGAGGCAAATTTCCTCCACTATTTTCTTTAGAAAGGGAATTCAGGATTAAAGATGATTACAAACACACACAGATCTTCTCACACACACACACGCACACACACAGCATGTGCACTAACCCATCTGTCTGAGGTTTATGTTTCGATCAGATACCAGGCTTGGCCTCACAGACAATCGGTTTTCAACTGCCACAGTCGGCAACACCTGGGATGTCAATGAGAAAAGGGCGCGACAAAAGATTTGAAGCATGTGAGAACTGCTACTCCTGTGATCCTGACAGTGGATCATTTCCCATTTAGTCCTTGAGATTCCAATCCAAAAAAAACATAATCATAACTCCAACCGTATGGGAGGACTATGCTCTTCTTTCAATGTGGAAATCCTTGCTGTGCAGACCAAAGACAAGAAAGAGTTCCCCGCTTTCAGAAGCTCTCGATTTCCAACCATCTGAAATGTCATGTACATTGTTCAGATCAATTACATATTCTAAACACATTTGCACACTGTAAGACAACACAGTGAAGGTGAGTAAAGATCTGGTTATTTTCTCACTGATGGCGCTTTTGTCCAAGTAAGGCACACAGACTCATATGCTTACCACTTAATGACAGCGTAAGTGGTCATCAAAGTGTTGAAGACGAGGACCTTCATGAGAAGCAGCCTCATAACCAGGACAACCACTGTGTTTGTCCACACCTGGACAAACACACCTGGAGATCAAACCGCACAAACCCCACCAACATCAGGAACGACATCTTTATGAATCAGGATTTTCTAAATTGTTTGCAAACAGTGAAAATGTACCTTCTGTCTTTTCATATTCATAGCAGATCTTGTCTTCATGGTCTGAAATTATAAAAATTGTACAATAAAAAGTTTATTTGGGAGGAGAGATGTCAGGAAATAAATTCACGATCAGCTGTAGTTCTACCTGACGAGGTGGTGTGGTGTCTCCTGGTGACTTTTGGGCGTTTCCTGCGAGTCACAGAGCAACTGTAGGACGGCCAGTTCCCGGTCGCCACCGTGATGACCGCCACAGCGCTGTTGCCGCGATGCTTCCTGTCCAAAGCGATGCTGTGTGGCGAGCTGGACATGTGGCCTTCTGATGGTGACCTCCAGCTTACCTCGAGGTGCCCTCTCCGGAAGTCACTCACCATACAGACCAGCAGGGTCCAGCCCAGTCTCTCCCCCGACAGGTGCACAGGTGGGGCCAAAGATGCCAGCACATCACCCTCTACCCCTCCTAAAAGATGATGGAGGACAACATGAGAGGATATTTAGGTGCAGACTTGGCCTGTAGCTAATTAACAGAAGGTTTCAAAACAATAATGCAATGACTCACATAAAATGTATAAAGTAGTTGTCTGTTAGCTTATGAGAAAAATGGACATCAAAATAACACTATGTTACTGGTGTGTAACAGTTTATAAAGAAAATCTTCATGCATTAACATTATTGCCAATAACATCTACAGATATGATAATCGCTCAGTCCTTATTGTGATTAAGTCTCAATACTAAATTGAGTCCTCTACTAATCTTGGCTGCCACCATCGATGATATAAAAACCTAAAGATAGAGGCTGTTTAATGTTTCAAAGCTCTTTGAGGAAATGTGTGATGTTGAGCTGTATAAATAATACTGACTTGACTTCCAACTGCCTGTGATTAAACTCAAACACAGTGGTCATGCTTTCAAAAAAATTAAAGTTCTCTGAGAAGTCGATATTTTGGATATTTATGATTTTCACCAAACAGTGATATTAATATTCACCATAATCATGGATTATAAATGGAAAGCTCTTACCTGTCCATAAATAGATGATAGGAAGGTAAAATAGACCCCTGTGTGGTTCAGCCATGTCTGTTAGTTATAGTAGCTCCACTGTCTGTCTGTGCACTTTGTGAGTGTGTGAAATGAGGGCATGCCGTTTGGCTTTGCCAGGAGCATTGCATTATGGGGGAGTGACATGTCACATTGTTGTGACCTTAAATACTAACAACGACCCCCCCCCACACACACACACACACACACGCACACACTGGGAGAGAAAGAGAGGGAGTCATTGTGAGCTCTTACACAGTGTGGGCTTTATCTGCATTCATAAAGAGGACAGTTAATCTGAGAACAGGACAGTGATGCGAACAGTAAAGACAGTTTAGAACAATTAGAGACACACCTGCTTATGGCTGTTAGCTCCCTGAGGTAAGAAAACCGATCATATCAACGCACCCAGAACATTAGATAACACTCCTGTGGGGTACACTTGCACACACGCACACACGCGCGCACACACACGCACAGGGTAATTTGTCAGCAGTGGGCAGGAGCTCAGCCTTTAAGAGAAAGTGAAACTCAACAACAGGAACACGAGGAAATGACAAAGCTAATATGAACGAGGTAAAACGTTTTGGCAATTGCTCGTTTATTTGAGTTAAAACACGATTTCTAAAAAAGGTGAGCATTATGTTAATTGTAACTTCATAACAATCTTCCACAATAAGTTTCTGCTATTTCATTTCTGTGGTCATAACGATGTCATAACGATACACAGCACGACTCCTGCCCGTGCAGCCTGCTTTGAACTGTCGTTAATGCTGCTGCAGCTGTTGTCACCTCACAGTTATAGCTGTGTCCTCACCTTGTTTTGTCCGCATGGAAAAGCATGGGCTTCGTTTGTCACATGTTTGAGTCTCCTTCAGGCCGAGTTGTGTTGTGTTTAGGCCCTAAAACCTACTCACAGCTCGGTGTGCCCGAATTAACCGACTGCTCGACAGAATTCATGTGTCATGCTTGCGAGGTCCAAAACGGTCCCCTTGTGGAACATTAACACCTTTAACTAGTGGGTAGAAACAGGGTTGCTACATTGCAAGCTATATGAGAAATGTGTGGCAGGTTAATTATTGAGGGTATGTATGAATATATGAATGCATAACATATTAATAGTGGTTGTAAAGGTTTGTCCAAGTTTTACAGCAAAGATAGTAACCTTTGACACCATAACAACAACCGTAAATCTGGCTGGAGGAGGCAGTAAGACATTAGTGTCGAGATGCAGTAAATGTTAACATTTTTGATTGGACTCGAGAATAAACAGGAACTACAGTGGTATAAAAGTTCCATTGAGAGACGTATGTGGTGTGTTCTTAATCCTGCTCTAATGTCTTTCAGGTTTAAGAGACGTCATTGATTGATCCATATTCTGACAGTGTGACATCTGGACAAATCATCCCGGCTAGGAATTCAACACTCGCATCAGGTGCTCCTTCATCACTCCTCATGTGTGGGATGTGATCAGGTTCATATAACTGTCAGCCTGTCACACGGTTGGCTTATTTATTTATTTTTAAATCAGTGGTTACAGGACATTTCCTCCACAATGGTCTTGGTGAGGCTTTTAGTGCTGTCTCTATTTCACATGTCTCTGGGTGGGTCGCAGCCCACCCAGAGTTCACAACAGGCGTCCAGCCCTCTTCACCCCGCAGGACAGCAATCTCCTTTGGGTACTAGTAATCTGTCCTTCCCTTGGAGCCGTCTTCGCCTGCCAAGGTACGCTTGCTTCCTAATGGCCGCATCCAAGAAATTTACAAGAAAATTGCCGGAGCTCTATCTTTTTATTCATCGATTATAATTCAATTGTTTCTTTGTCTCAGGTACATCATTCCTCTTCACTACCACCTCCTCCTGCACCCCAACCTCACAACTCTCAGTTTCACTGGCTCAGTGCAGATCCAGATTGATGTCCAGAACAACACAAACTGGGTTGTATTGCACAGCAAGGGTCTGCAGATCTCCAAGGCCGCCATAGTGGACCAGAACTTCGCTCACTTGTCTGATCAGGTAGTTGTAAATGCAGCGCAGTTATCATTAGACCTTATTTGTCATTGTTACCTACAATGGACCCAACCCCTCTCCATCTCCTCTTGTTCTAGGTTCTTCCAGTTCTTCATAACCCTTCCCATGAGCAGATTGGCATTTTCTCTCCCAGGGTGCTCAGCAGCGGGCAAAAGTACTTTCTGTATCTTGAGTTTGGGGCAGAATTGTCAGAAGGCTTCTATGGCTTCTATAAGAGCACCTACAGAACCAGCACAGGAGAGACCAGGTAAGACCAGATTGTAATAGATCTTACACATACAGAGAGGTTCCAACTTCAGTTCCAGAGTCCATTGTCTTTACGCCTCTTTGTGTCTTTTCAGAACATTAGCTTCAACTCACTTTGAGCCCACGAGTGCTCGGATGGCATTCCCTTGTTTCGATGAGCCGAGCTTCAAAGCTAACTTCTCCGTTCGGATCAGGAGGAGTCCAGAGTACATTTCTCTGTCCAACATGCCTGTAGTGAGTGCTGCATAGATGCTAGCCTTCACACATGTTCAAATGTGTGAGCGACATGGCTACAGTGATCTGTTTGTGTATTTCAGGTCGAGACGTTTGAAGTAAACGCTGGCGTGCTTGAGGACCAGTTTGATGCGAGTGTAAAGATGAGCACTTACCTCGTAGCTTTTGTCATCTGTGACTTCAAATATGTCACTGCAACGACATCTTCTGGGGTGCAGGTGTGGTCTCACTGACAATATTTGAATTTCCTTCTTTCTTGCCAACAGCATTTCTTTCTCATGGACACTTTTTTTTTATGAACTTTTGTGTCTGTAGGTGTCCATCTATGCCTCCCCTGAGAAGTGGCCACAAACCCGCTACGCCCTGGAGGTTGCTGTCAAAATGCTAGACTTCTACGAGGAATATTTCAACATCCACTATCCTCTACCCAAACAAGGTACCCTTTGTTTAGTTTTCCTGTTACTACTTTGTCAGATCCCCCTCTTTCCCCCTTTCACGTTCTCTCCACTGACCTGTGTTTTCCCGCTCTCAGATCTGATAGCCATCCCAGACTTCCAGTCTGGTGCGATGGAGAACTGGGGTCTGACCACCTACAGGGAGACCAGCCTGCTCTTTGATCCCCTCACGTCCTCCATTTCGGATAAACTCTGGGTCACCATGGTGATCGGACATGAGCTCGCCCATCAGGTGAGAGCGTGACACTGTGTCTGCACCCTACTGACATACTGTTCAGCTTTAGATGCTCATAATCTTAATGGTCTTGACTGCAGTGGTTTGGTAACTTGGTGACCATGGAGTGGTGGAACGATATCTGGCTGAATGAAGGATTTGCCAGATACATGGAGTACATCTCAGTGGAGGCCACCTACCCTGACCTCAAAGTGGTATGTGCTTGGTTTAATGTGAGAATCGACTTAAATGATTAATTGCGGTAGATTAATACTAAGTGTAGTAAACCACAACCCTGTTCTGTGCACAATCTTGCAGGAGGAATATCTTCTGCACACCTGTTTTTCAGCAGTTGGTCATGATTCGTTGAACTCTTCTCGGCCAATATCCAGCCCAGCAGAGAACCCGACTCAGATCAAGCAGATGTTTGACACAGTCTCCTATGATAAAGTATGCTTTCAGTCTCATACATGTGTTGTGCCTGCAGTCACAAAGAGGGTCGCTCAACTATTCATTATGCGTATCCTATTTGTGGAAATACAGGTCTACAAAACCAGGGATAACAAAACAAACATAGTACATTTAAAACCCCGCTGATATTTATGTTACTCACTTCTGATTGACCTGGTTGGAAGTAGTTGAAACAACTTCCATTAAGCTTTTGACCGCATAACAATTGATCTCTATTTTAATATTGTAATGGAAAATCTCATCTTTTTTTCACATTTATGACTCACAACATTCAAATTGCTTTGAAGCCAACCTACAGCATAACCTGGGATTTGATTAAATACAGCTTTTCTCTCTCTCCCACCAGGGAGCATGTGTCCTCCACATGCTGCGACACTTTCTGACAGACGATGTGTTCCAGCGGGGGATAGTACGATACCTCCGCAAATACAGCTACAGAAATGCACACAACCAGGATCTGTGGGACAGCCTCGCCAATGTACTAACACAAATTACATTAATTGTCCAATTCACGATTGTTAATCAATCAGTCAGTTCATAAATATTTGATTGTGTTTAGTTCATATATTAGAAGTTCGGTATATTTAACATGTCTGCTAAACATTTTATAATGGATGCTGTAGTGTTTCGGTTATTTTTATTTACCCTGCTTCCAGACAGACATTCTTCCCATTCCTTTCTTTATGGAGCATAAATCAGTTTGCTGAGACTAGAAAGTTACATAAAGTAGGTAATTGATCAAAATTAACATAATGTCTGTTTTTATTGCCATCAATATTGTGTAATATTTGCCCAATAATGCAATTGTGAGTGATTCTAAAAGAATAAACCTCCGTGCCATGCATCGATAACAAAACATTTGACAAAAATTGAAAGCAGACGTGGTGTCCACTGTGGTGCATTACCAATCTCAAGCAAGTTAAAAGTCTCCCAAAGTGAATTGTACTGTATTATACAGAAGGGAATTGAAGTGACTGCCTTGATAGATCACATTTAAATTGTAAAGCATTGTAATGTACTATGGAAAGCGGTAAGGTAAATGCGATTTGCAAAAATCTTTTGTTTTTTTCCAGACATGCTCCGAGGAGGACTTCATGTCAGGAAAACACTGTTACAGCAGCAGCCAGGCCTCCAAGAATGCAGTGAGTAAACATATAAACATCCACTCAAGGACATCTCTTCATTGGTGTCCTCTTATACATTTTACACAGTGTAAACAATTATTTTCTGGCCTTGTGACGTGTTGTGGCTGCATGTATTGTCTCCCACAGTACCTTTTTGCAGGAGAGCACATGGACCTGACAGCCATGATGAACACTTGGACTCTGCAGAAAGGTATTCCTCTGGTAACTGTAACTAGGAAAGGGCCCCATCTGCTGCTGAGACAGGACCGGTTCCTGAGGACAGTGCTGCCTTCTGACCGTCTCTGGTCAACTTTGCAACAGGGGTGAGCATGCACATGCACTTGTACAGTTTTGTTTACTACTTAGTTTACTCTTGTAGCAAAACTGCACATTGCTCCTCTACTCTGTGTTTTTGTTTTTGCAGCTACACGCCCATTATTACCTTTAGTCTAAAGTAACTCTCAGGTTTGAAAGAGTATTTAAATAATACTCTTGTTTTTCATGTATAGTTTCCTTTGGCACATCCCCCTGACATACAAGACAGATGCTTCCAGCACCATCCACAGACACCTGATGACAACACCCACAGGTAACAGGGAAGAGAGAATATTTTAAATATGTTTAATGCACATTTCATGCTTTTTCATTGCGTTGTTTTTGCTATTTATGTCTCATTTAGACAGTATTCATATAGGAGAGGAGGTCAGCTGGGTGAAAGTAAACACTGACATGACAGGCTATTATGTGGTTCATTATGAGGATGGTGGTTGGGACGAGATGACAAAACTACTGAGGGAAAACCACACTGCTCTCAGCTACAAAGACAGGACTCACTTGATACACAACGCCTTTCAATTGGTCACGTAAGCCTCTATGTGTGTGTGTTTGTGTGAGACAACAAAACAGACAGTGACATAAACAATACAGCTTTAATCATCCCACCTGAAACAACACCTATAAATATTCTTGTTTGTCTCTAAAGGTCAGGTCAACTGTCGCTCGATAAAGGCTTAGACCTGATTGGTTACCTGCAATTGGAGACGCACACTGTGCCTCTCCTTGAAGGAATAGGCTATCTGGAGGCCTTTTACCGGATGACCGAGAAAAGGAATGAGTTTGATGTAATAAGCAACCTGGGGGTAAGAAGATGAGGGTACAAATTAAGTATGATGTTTCTGAAAATGTCGGTACGCAGTGCAGTTTAATTTCCTGTGAAGTTTAATTTGCTGTTTCTCCGCGTGCAGATGTACATCCTGCGATTTTTCCGTGCGGTCATTGACCGGCAGACGTGGAGCGACAGGGGCTCTGTGTCCGAGCGACGGCTGAGATCAGAGGTCCTGTCACTGGCTTGCCACCTGAAGGACCCTCCCTGTCTGGAGCGGGCACGTGAGAGCTTCAAAGACTGGCTTCAGTCCAACGGTACACTCAAGTATGTCTGTCTAAATTATAATTCAGCACGCATCATTATCAGTCAACAACCTCTGATATCATTCACATACACAGCAGCTATTCCCTGTGCTAGCCCAGACCGTATAATTTGATGTTTCATCATATCTCTAATGTGCATCTCTGCTTGTGTTTACCCCAGCTTGCCAACTGACGTGGCAGACACGGTGTTTTCAGTTGGAGCTCAGGATGACCACGGCTGGGTTTCACTCTTACACACATACAACATGTCTCTCTCTGAGGCACAAAAAAGCAAAATCCTGTTTGCCTTGACCTGCAGCAGAGACACAAACAAACTGCACAGGTACATCTTCTCCCCAATATATTTTAACACGGTAAATGCTGCCCCCGTGTGGCAAACATGGGGTGCCACAGCCAACAGATATCCAATATTTATCCAGTGTCTCGTTACAGATATGCTAGACATCTTTCAGTGGGGGCTCCTCAAGTGATGGCAGATAATGGGGCGTTACTAGAGCAGGTTATATTGTGTGTTATTGTGTTCCAGTCTGCTGGAGTTGGGTCTTGAGGGGAAGGTGATTCGATCCCAGGACCTGTCCTCTGTCATCCTGATGGTGGCCAGGAACCCACAGGGATATCGCCTCACCTGGAACTTTGTCAAAAAGAACTGGGACACGCTGGTTCAAAAGTTAGTGCAACATAATGGAGACCATCATGAACGACAATATCAGTCAAAACATGTGATGCTATGAAAATGCACTTTTGCTTACCTTTTTAAAACATATTAATGTCTTACCCAGTATATATACTTAAAAGTGTGTTTTACTCATCAAGCTGGTGTTTTTAGTTGGAAGCAAAAACTTTGTGTAAACCAGTAAGACCTGCCGTTTTAGTGGCTTCAATAACAAATGGAACAGGTTTTGGAATTTATAAGGACCTTATTATACTGCAAGCAACACATTGGGTAGCTATAATAAAAAAATCCCTGAATAACAATGTGTGCATATGGAGGAAGAGATATTAACCTGTGAGTGTCCTCTCTGTTGTCTTTCTGCTCCGCAGGTTCCAGCTGGGCTCGTTTTGTATTAGAAACATCCTCATAGGCACCACAGGCCAGTTTTCATCTCCAGAGGAGCTCACTGAAGTAAATGCCCTCTTATATCTTGGATTCATCTATATTCTACAAGGCAATTTAGAGATTACCAATATTTCAACATTGATATGATCATTATTGGTATTAGTTGGCATTGGCAATATCAGTGATATTAGTGATAATGATGGTAATAACAGAGGCACTCTCAAAAATGATTTCCAATTGTAAAATAGTGTGATTCTGACCTAAAGAGAAATATCTATAAAAGCTTCAGCATGAATACATGTGTGCTAAATTTCTTGCAAGCATAACTGAGAGAGGAATTTAACTTTTTTTGGGTCTAAATCTGAGTTGTGTGCTTGTTTGTGTTTTTGTAAATGTAGGCTATGTGTTTGATCCCCAGGTGCAGCATTTCTTTGAGTCCATCAAAGAGCAGGCGTCTCAGCTGAGAGCTGCTCAGTTGGCCCTGGACAACGTGCAGAAAAATGTTCGCTGGTTTCAGAGGAACCTCGAGACTCTGAGAAACTGGTTGAACAAACAATTGCAGTGAAAGACAGCAGAAAGACAGGTGGCGGTTAACAGACGCCACAGCTGGGATATTTCAAAGTTTCTTTGAATTTTGTACGTGTTTTTATTGGCTTATTGTAATATGTTTGATATCACCGAAGAGCTGACAGTTTTGTATATAATTACTGTTTTGTAAATTAGCAGGGGATTTGTTTGTTAGACCCAGACTGAGAGAGAGATTACATGCTCGGTAGTCTTTACCAGATAGACAATAAAAGTGTTGTACCTCCTGCCACCTTTGTGTGTGTTGCTGAAACATATCATTGTGCTGAATACAACCAGTGTGTGTTTGTTTGTGTATCTACTTGGTATTCATCATATTAACTATTTATTTAGGGGCTAAGACTTGGGGTTAGGGTAAGAGCTATGAATAGGCTACGGTTGAGGTTAGACATGTGGTTAACATTTAGGGTTGGGCTCCAGGGAACGAAACAATAAAATATCCACACAAGTATAGTAAAAAAAAGTTTGTTTTTGTTGTTTAAACCATTTATTTGACAGTTCAGACTATGTTTTATGGTTAGATTAACTGTAAATAGGTAGAGTTTAGCTTTCTTTGGGCCAGGTTGAGGTTAAGCATGTTACGGTTAGGATTAAAACCACCATGTCATGAATGGTAAGAAATACAATGTTCTCACAAGTATAGTAAAATATTTACGTGTGTGTGTTGGCGTGCATCTGTGCATGTCTTATGTTCTAGCCCCGCCCTACGGTAGTAACATCCAATAGGATGTCAGCATTGAAATTCGATGAGAGGTTGTCAACAACCGGTCGGGGAGGAAGCAAAGTGTCATTTGTCCGTTCGTTAGTTTACCAACGGGCATGTCAGGGTGAGATTTGTGTACATATTATTAGCGTACGATTTTTGGATAACTCCGCATTCACGTGGTAGTCTATTAAACAGCTATGGGCGATAAAGTTATAGATATCAGCTAACGTTAGCTAACTGAATGTTCTTCAGTCACTTACAAATGTCAAAAGTTGGCTAGTTCCAAGCTAACGTTAGAGCAGTGAGGACAGGCTGCTAGTTATTGTGAGCGTTTGTTAGCCTGCCCCGGTGGATTGTGGACCAGCTAGAAAAACGCACGTCTGTGGAGCTGCTGTGAAGGTTTCCCCTTGTTTTGGACGCGAGGAGCTGTTTGAGATATCCTACCATGGATCCATTTGACAGCAACAATGCAGGTAAGGAAGAAAGATGGTAGGTACAGTACTATCGGTAGGCTAGTAGCTTCAGGCCAGCTAATAACTTATGGAGGCATTAGCAGTGACATTCACCGAGGGCACATGTTGACAGCGATAGGTTTGACTTTTGGAAAGACAAACCGGTTTGTGACTGTAACGTTAGGTACAACGTAGGGTGTGTGTGAACCATGCTGTTTACTCATGTGACGTTTTGCTATAATTTTAACAGAACGACGCCAATAACACATTTGTAACAGTTTAAACAATGGCTGCCTTGACAGAAACATAGCATGGCACTGTTGAGACTCAAGTTGTCTGTGAAAACACAGCAGCATTGTTTGTCCAGTTGAAGCCTGTTGGTTTGATAAGAGCTATGTTTTGTGTTGGTGTGGAGAGCTGATAAGTCATGCTCAGCTCCGCTCAGGCAAGCAGCTGCTTTATAACCTCTATTATGGTGCTAGGGTGTCCATGACTTCATTAAAACAAACAATAAAACCAAGCGCACACAGTAGTTTCTCCTCGGCGGGTGTTATTTTATTCAACCTGGAACAGGCAATCACCAAATCACAGCAGGAACTTCCTGTTTTTTTTCTTCCTGTTTGTTCTGACTTAGTGATCTTTAAGTAAAAGCCCAAAGTCACATTTCACAACCACATTCTGGCCAGACAATGGTGAGAAAACAGAAACAGATGCTTCCTTCCCCTAATTTGAATCACCAACCAACCAGTATCAGTGTCAGTATCGCGGCTCAGTACTCTGCATCTTTTAGTGTGTTGTCTGTTCTTACCTGGGCTGAATTAGTGGACACACATTTAGCTATATTTCTGTGACTCTAAGGTAGAGTTAATAAATGTTTTGAGTTAACAGGAAGAGCGCAGTCAGCAAATGAACATGGCCTGCTGCTGCATTTACACAGCTTTAACCAGCTTGATGAAAGCACAGGAGTTGTTGGTTGCTCACATTTGCGTGGTGTGTTTTCTAATTGTAGTGCAGATGATAACCATCACATCCTTTTGCCCCCTCTCACCCGAGCTCGTCATCTTGCTTGTATGGCATAATTTTCAGCATAATATCACGTCAATTAGAAGTAGACATGACAACCGGGATTAATCCAGTTTGATGTGTTTTGTATGGATCAAATTTTTATCATATCCTCATAATCACATTACACATTACCCACTACTTAGCTCTCAGCCTATTAATAGACAATCATACCACAGGGATGTGGTTCAGGCAGGGACATGGCGACAGCACACCAGAAACACTTTACAGGACATACAAGGAACTAAATTCACCTCATGTATTTCTGGACTTTCGTCTTTCTTGTGGGGAGCTGAAGCTCAACTTATTTTGGTGTCGTTGTTTCTGTATGCACACTGTGTATATTCATAATAGTTCACTTGCTCTCTGCTTTCCACACCAATCCATCACCAACTGAGAGTGACAATGCTTTGTCTTAAGTTTGTAAAAAGCATGATTGTAACGTGAGGCAAATCGGGAGACTTGCATTGCTTCGAGTTTTACTACTTTCGGTATTATTAAATTAGGAGGATGAACATACCTCTGATTGTTTCAAGGATTACTGAGAACTATTGTTTGGAGAATCTGGCTGCCAGAAAATCACGTGGGTTTTGTAAGACACGGCGTAACTCTTGTCATGAATCTTGATTCTGAAGACGCAGGTTACGGAAATGCAGGCTTTTGTAAACTGCAGTGACAGGGCCATATGATGAATATTCACTGTATTAGCTTTTTTTAATGTCCTTGTTTTTATTTTGTATATTTTTCTTGTTTATTTGTATATTCTATGTATGTACGTACATTGAGAGCAATGTAATCGTACACATACATGGCCAATAAAGCTGATTGTGATTCAGATTGTTCCTGTACCTGAGGGCTCTTCGTCAGTTTTTATTTTTTATTTGTAGGTTTTTTTTCTCCACATGAATGAATGAACTGTGAAGGAATTACAGCTATTTCAACACTTAGTATATGTCTTACAGCCCTATGAACCCATTCGTTCTAGGTCAAAGTACCAGGAAATGCTGCAGGACGTTTACTAACAGGAAACTGAAGAAACTCAGTCAGTGCTTTGTTAAACAAGGCTTCATGTTGCCTGCACACAAAAAAATGGCTTGTTTCCACAACTCTTCTGTGGAAAACTTTGAAATTCCAAAAGTCACAGCACATATGTTAACATACAGTGCAATACTGTGTGTGTGTGTGTGTGTGTGTGTGTGTGTGTGTGTGTGTGTGTGTGT